TTTTTCATTGTTTTTTTGACAAAACAGATACGGATCGGTGTTCAAGACTCATGTATTAGGATGTCCATGTGTGATGATCTCAAGCCCTGAAGCAGCGAAATTCGTATTGAATACCAAGTCTCATTTGTTTAAACCGACTTTTCCGGCGAGCAAAGAGAGAATGCTCGGAAAACAAGCCATCTTCTTCCACCAAGGAGATTACCATGCTAAACTTAGAAAGCTCGTCTTAAGAGCTTTCATGCCTGATTCGATCAGAGCCATGGTCCCAAACATTGAATCAATCGCTCAGGAATCCCTCAACTCTTGGGACGGAACTCAACTCAACACTTACCAAGAAATGAAAACAGTAAGTCCTCCGATTTCGCTGTCTTTAAGAACAGAAACAGAGTATCCCCTGTTTTTTGTCTTTTTCTCAGTCTAAAACAGAGCATCCTCTGTTTTTTTCACTTGGAAACTGTTTCTGACTCATTTTTCTTTGTATCAACAGTACACTTTCAATGTGGCGCTAATCTCAATACTCGGAAAAGACGAGATTTTTTACCGAGAAGATCTGAAACGATGCTACTACAATCTAGAGAAAGGTTACAACTCGATGCCGATTAATCTCCCGGGAACACTATTCCACAAAGCCATGAAAGCTCGCAAGGAGTTAGCTCAAATCCTCGCTAAGATCTTATCGAAGAGAAGAGAAAACTCATCTACACACAAAGATCTCCTCGGATCATTCATGGAAGACAAAGAAGGATTAACCGACGAACAAATCGCCGACAACATAATCGGAGTGATCTTCGCCGCTAGAGACACGACGGCGAGTGTGCTGACGTGGATTCTCAAGTACTTAGCGGATAATCCAACTGTTCTAGAAGCTGTCACAGTAAGTACATTTTTTTCTTTCAAAAGGACACTTGAAGATCTCTCACGAAGGAGTGGCAGATTCGTAAATTAAACGGGTTTTGTTTGGGTAAAACAGGAAGAGCAAATGGCAATAAGGAAAGGGAAAAAAGAAGGAGAAAGCCTCACTTGGGAAGATACAAAGAAGATGACATTAACTTCTAGAGTCGTCCAAGAGACAATGAGAGTTGCTTCAATCTTATCTTTCACATTCAGAGAAGCTGTCGAAGATGTTGAATACGAAGGTATGTACATATATACTTACATATTTAGATCAAATTTATACCACCGATATGTTTACATATGAAATATGCTAAATTTTGAATGTTTTTTTTATAGGATATTTGATTCCAAAAGGATGGAAAGTATTGCCGCTATTCAGAAACATTCATCACAATGCTGATATATTTTCGGATCCCGGAAAATTCGATCCATCGAGATTCGAAGTTGCACCGAAAGCGAATACGTTCATGCCATTTGGAAGTGGGATCCATTCTTGTCCCGGCAATGAGTTAGCTAAACTTGAAATCGCCGTTCTAATCCATCATCTCACCACTAAGTACAGGTTGGTACTTAGAACAATCATATTAGTCTTTTTGTAGTTGACTTCGGATTAGCTTTTTTCTAGAAAGAGTTTTTTTTTCTGATAAGGGATGTTTTGGTAATTTCAGGTGGTCAATAGTGGGACCTAGCGATGGAATTCAGTATGGGCCTTTCGCTCTTCCACAGAATGGATTGCCTATTGCTTTGGAACGAAAACCAGAGGTCGACGTATGACAATTACGAGAATACCACTTTAGATTTCTAAAATTAGAAACTTGAGGAATTCTTTCCATTTTAGAGAAAATAATTAATTCTCTATTATTTCACTGGGTAAGAGAAAACAGAAAATACAGAAATGGAAAGGAGATAGATAAAAAGATCCCAAATGGGACCCCCCAAGTGTATATAGGTTTCAGCTATTTTTTAGTGTAAAAGGTTAATGTAGAGAATTTAGTTTTGGGAGAAAAAAGGATATAGTTATATATGTTTCATGTGTATGTACGTTATTGAGACTTTTTCTTTTTGTTATTTTTCTCAAATTGTAAATTCTTTTGTTATCCATGTAATGAATACAATGGAATGCTCAAAGCAATTTTCCAACATTAGTTGCTACTTATCAAGTGTTAATCGTTTTTTTACGTCAGAGATTAGAGAAATTTCTTTAAATACCACAGACTAAGTTTTTTTTTTCTTTCATATCATCGCTAGTTTTATTTGTTTTAACCATATCACTTTTTCATCCATGCACGAAACTTTTCTAGAAAATTGTAATTCAAATATTTGGGTTTGAGTTTAATATTTAATGTTTGTGGTTTAGTTTTGAAGGTTTAAAGTTAGTTTAAGTTTTTATGTTATTTGTTATTTATAAAAAATAGTATGCATGAAAACAAAAGGTAGTAATGGTATGAGAGAAAAAAAAAAACTTGTTTTAATGTTATATATAAAAATTGCCCCAAAGATTAACCAAATAAGGTTTAATGTCCTCTCTAATTAATGGAGTAGTAGTCAATAAAGTATTGTTAACTGATCGTATTAACTTCTTTGATCACATTTACAACAAAATTTGCCCTAGTGGACTTTTTAACAAAAAAAAGTTTGCCCTAGTGGACTTGTCAAATTTGCGTATTTATAATGCCAAATAATCATAAACAAAAGAATTAGGTTATATTTACCATCCACTTGGTTACTTACTTACTTATGTAACACTTTAAGTCTAAAACAATTGGATGATAAAATCTAGGTGGTCAAAAGAATTCAATATCTTTCGTGAAAAGTAAATATAAAATGTTGACAAAAAAGAAGAAGTAAATACCAGATCAACAACTTGGAGTAAACCAATATTGAAACTATTTTATTAATTAGCGTAAGAATTGCTAAAAGCTTGATTCCATTATAATCTTTTTTTACGGACGACTTTGACCATTAAGTCGTGAATTATATGCCACTCGGTCAATGTGATCAAATTTTCGTTTATACTATATGGGTTTCAATGATTAACTGCAGTTGATGCTCTTTGGATGACTCTCATTGAATTGTTCTTGAGGATATACACCTGTAAAAATTTAATTGCTTTCATTTCATGATCGTTTTTATTTATATATTATTATTGATATACTAGTATGATATGTAACATCCATAAACCAAAAATAAAAATTGGGAATTTTGTCGGTTCAATTTAAATTGGTTTGGGTCGGTTTAGTGGAGAAAGCCCTAAAATCAAGTTTAAAGAGTGCAGCCGTCTTCTCTTTGGAGAATTTTCGAGTTCAGATGCTGTAGAGGAGAAAAGTTGAGTTTTTGGAGAGATTTTCGAATTTTACTGTTCATCGGGTACTGTTCATCACGGGTTACTGTTCATCGGTACTGTTCACGGGTTACTGTTCATCCGCGATTCGGCACTGTTCATCGTCTTTCCTTTTTCCTTCAGTTTCAATCCATTGTCAAGGTGAGTGCATGACTGTGGGTCCGTGATTTGCTAGATTAGATTTGGTTTGTGGTTGTTCTTGATGAGTTTATGTTTTAATTGTTATTTTTATGATATTTTGGTTGTTCATGTGATGAATTGTGTGTTTGTGTGGTTTAATCTGGTTTATTGGTTTAATTGAATTTAATTGATTTGATCTGGTTTATCTTGGTTCAATTGAATTTAATTGGTTTAATTGAATTTAATTGGTTTAATGGAATTAAATAGATTTAATTCGGATTTAATTAATTAAATAATATTTATTTAATTAATTGGTTTATTTTAATTATTTTAAAATATGGAAAATTATTATTTAATTATGAGAATTATTTAATAATTGAGAAATTGAGTTTTAATTATTAAAATTATTTAATAATTGGAAAATGGTATTTAATAATTATTGGAGTTTATAAATATTATTAAATATCTAGTAAATTGCGTAAATGGCTCGTAGGCAGAGTGATTGCCTCACTAAGTATTTATTAAATACTTACGCAACTCCATTCCAATGTGTTGCAGGTAAAAGATTTGTGTGATCGCGGAATCAAGGCTGAAGAGGGGGATGATAGGATGTTTACTGTTTTATTGTTTTGCATTATTTTGCTAGACTTGTTTAATTATTATTTGCTTCCGCTGAGCTGATTTATTTGTTATTGATATTTTATTTATTTAATTTATTTTAAAGACCTTCGCTAGAATTGATTAATATTTATTAAAAAAAAAAAAATGTTGGTTGTTTCATTTTGGTATCAGAGCCTAGACGGTTTTAGGACAGTTAGAATTGCTAGGCTTAGTATCATCCCCTTCAGCTAAAGGAGATTCCGCGGTGAGTTTTGGTGTTTGTGTTTTGTGTTATTGTCTAGTTGCTCATGTTCGGGTCCATGCAGTGAGATGGACGGAGCTCCTAGAGGTCGTGGCGCGAGAGGGCGCGGTGCTAGAGGTCGTGGCGGCAGAGTTGGCCGTGGCGGCAGAGCTGGTGGTAGAGCTGGAGGTCGAGCAGGCCGAGGTCGTGGTCGTGGACTTCCGGAGGAGTCGGGAGAGAGTGCGGCACCGAGTGTGCATACTGCGTCGGTGACCCAGTCAGTTCCGTTGGCGGGTGATGCCAGTGCGAGTGTTGGTTTGGGAGCGGGGGCTGCTCCGGGTGGGGGTGGCGCTCCGGCTCCGGGTCGTGATGACTTAGTGGTGGGTTTGCTGACGCAGCTATTGGCTCGTTTTCCGCCGGTGGTTCCACAGGGGGCTCCAGGAGTACCGCCAGTGGCAGAGGTGCAGCATGTTGCTGCAGACGTTGCGCAGCCGGAGGCTGTGGGTGCGGGTGTGACCCGTTATTTGGAGTTTATGGGCCACATGCAGAGATTGGTACGCCTTTCTTCGAGGGCAGAGTTGGTCCGAGGAGGCAGACGCGTGGCGTCAGAGAGTGGAGCGGAACTTTCATTCGATCCGTTGTCCGATGGAGTACTGGGTGGAGTTAGCGGTCCACTATTTGAGTGGCGATGCTCATTTGTGGTGGCAGGCCGCGGTGGGCCGGAGGGCATTTTGGACTTGGGGCGACTTCCTTGTGGAGTTCAACGCCAAGTATTTCCCGAGGCAGGCTCGTGATCGTCTTCAGATGCGGTTTATGGACATTGAGCAGGGTTCGCGTACTGTACGCGAGTATGATGAGGAGTTCAGCCGTCTGTTAGTGCATGCGGGCTTTGGTATGGAGGCTGAGCATCAGTTGACGAACAGATTTCTGGAGGGACTTCGCAAGGATATCGGACTCTATGCAGGAGTAGTATGCACACTTCGAGGGCGAGTCTGGTAGAGTTGGCCGCGTCGGTTGAGGCGGATCTTGAGTGGGCCAGTTGGTCCGGTGGCTGTGCCGTCAGCAGTTGCTTCTGCTACCCAGCCTCGGGGTCAGCATCAGCAGCCGCGACAGCAGCAGCAGCAGCAGCGCAGAGGTGGTTCGAGTTTCAGTTCTGGTTCTGGCAGGGGCGGTTTGCCTGCGCAGGGTCAGAAGAGGAGTAGAGAGGAGTTTTCTGGTGCTAGTCAGTTTCCTCGTGGTTCCTGTTTTGGGTGTGGGAGCACGGAGCATCGTGTTTCGAGTTGTCCCAAGAGAGTCAGCACCGAGGGTGTGCTACTACTGCAAGGAGCCTGGGCATATCAAGCCCATGTGTCCTAAGTTGCGGAGTATGTCGGTGGCTTCGGTTCAGCCAGTAGCGGCTCAGCCAGTGAGTCAGATCGCAGCAGTGCAGCCGTTGGGTCAGATTGCACCGGCGCCGCGGGGTTACTCTTCAGTGGAGACTGGCGGGACTAGTCAGACCGGGCAGATCACAGGTAAATCTTCGACTCAGACTTTGTAAATTCTTAGTATAGAATTGTTGTTGTGTATTGTCTGTTAGTCATTTTTATCTGTGATAGTCTTGTGGAGGTTCTCAACGCAATTGAATGTGTAGGGACCTTGTTAGTGGGCGGTTTTGAGTCCCACGTTTTATTCGACTCTGGAGCATCGAATTGCTTCATTACACCGGAGCGTGCCGAGAAGAGTGGCATCCGGAGTAGCGCGGCGAGAGCGCGGGCATGGTCAAGGTGGCGGGAGGTGGATTCTTGTCTACTTTGGGCCGTGCTAGAGGAGTCGAGATCGAGATTGCGGGGCAGTCAATGCCAGCAGACTTAGTCATCAGTCCGGTGGAGCTGTATGACGTTATTCTCGGGATGGACTGGTTGTCACACTACAGAGTTCATCTGGATTGCTACAGAGGTAGAGTGGTCTTCGAGCGAGATGCAGGGAGGTTGGTTTATCAGGGAGTGAGACCGACTTCCGGGAGTATTGTGATATCTGCTATTCAGGCTGAGCAGTTGTTAGAGCGGGGTTGTGAGGCGTATCTGGCGACGATTTCTATGTCTGAGTCAGGAGCTGGAGTTGTTATGGGAGATATTGAGGTTGTCCAGGATTTTGAGGATGTCTTTCAGTCATTGAAGGGATTACCACCATCTCGGTCTGATCCTTTCACGATTGAGTTAGAGCCGGGGACAACACCGAATATCGAAGACGCCTTACAGGATGGCGCCAGCTGAGTTGGCAGAGCTGAAGAAGCAGATAGAGGACCTTTTGTCTAAGGGGTTCATTCGACCGAGTGTTTCACCGTGGGGAGCACCGTGTTGTTTGTGAAGAAGAAGGATGGCAGTTTCAGACTTTGTATCGATTACAGAGGTCTTAACCGAGTCACTGTGAAGAAA